CTCATAGCAACCTCAAACTCTTGGGCTTAAGCGATTCTCTTGCCTCAGCCTCCCAAGTAGCTGGGACTACAGGCACCTGCCACAATGCTGGCTATTATTTGTTGCAGTTGTCATTGTTTGTTTAGCTGGCCCAGGCTGGGTTTGAACCCACCAACTTTGGTTGTATGTGCCTAGTGCTGTACCCACCATGTCACAGGCACCGAGTCAAACGTGTGGTTCTTAAATGTTGCAAAATGCTGTAAAATTCAAGTCTCATATTTTGAAGAACAGTTGAGATTAAATTTATGGAGTCTCTTAGGCTTTTAGATTAAAAATATGCTAGATACCTGAATTAGCATTAATTTCAAACTATTATTTAATTTGAAAAGAATTACATGCTGCGAAGTGAAAATTTCAAACATTCTGATAGTTGCTTGCCAACACACCAAATAAGGTATCCATTTTTTAGAAAAGACTCAATTGACTAAAATTTCAGCAGTAATTTCTCAAAGCCTGAGATTCTGTCACCTACGAGCTTCTATAACTTACATCTTTTGTTTTAAATAGACATAATTTATACACTGTAAAGTTAACCACTTTAATTTTTTTTTTTTTAAAGAGATAGGGTATCACCGTCGGCCAGGTTGGTAGGCAGTGGTATCATAGTTCACTGCAACCTTGATCTCCTGGGCTCAAGCAATCCTGTCTCAGCCACCCAAGTAGCTGGGACTACAGAGACAGATAGGGTCACCACGTTCAGCTAATTTTTCTATTTTTTGTAGAGACAGCGTCTCACACCACACTGGCCCATCCTTTTAAAAATTCGCCATACAACGGTTTTTAGAATACTCACGAAGTTGTGCAACCGTCACCACTATTCTAGAACTTAATATACTTTATTGTAAACTTTTTCCAGTGTTTTTACACTCCCTCTGCCACGCGATCCTCAGAGGTTCCTGTGAAGCTAAACGTAATCTTTTGAGGTGCCCAACGTGGGCTACCACCTCAAAGGCTTTTCTAATTACAGTTTCACTTTAGAAGCTGGGGCTAGGTGGAGACTGAAGCTACTACTTTTGATTTATAGAAGAACAGCCCACACCTAATCTACATGTTTGCCTCCCAGTCTCGTTTTGCCGTACACCGTACGTAAAATCCTATCCGTATTTCAATTTGGTGGGCCGCTAGTGTGCGCTGGACTGCCGAAGAGTCACAGGGCATCCCCACTGAGAGGTGCCTCCCATTTCCCCCTACACCGTTCCCGTCCCGGGGCAGTTAGGTTGCCCGGATGCTCAGGCAGTAGTGCGCTTCTCCGCTTATATTTTATGATATTGCTGAAGAAATGAGGGATGCGCGGACAGAAGGAGCGGTGTGAGAGGGGCAGGGAACTGTTAATATGGCGTGAAGAACGCCAAAGCAACGAAGCATGAACAGAATTACGCTGGGCTGTGTAATCAATCCGGTTCTGCGGTTCGCGGGTGCCCGCCCTCCCATCTCCCGCCAGCCGCCGGGGAAAAAGCTACGCATGCGCAGCTGCCGGCGCAGGCGTTCAGTCTCCGGCGGCCGCGGCGCGGTCTCGCTCCCCATTGGCCACAGTCGGCCCACGTGATCCTACCGCAGAACCCGAGCGCGCGCTTTTCCTGCCACAGAACGCCAGGGGCTGGAACAGCTAGCGGGTCGTGTCGCGGTGGTTTCCTGCCCAGCTGAGGTACGGGAGGGTTTTTTCTTTTGGTTTTTTTTTTAACCGCGGAACCTTAAAAAAAAAAATCCTTAAGTACTTACCGAAAGAAAACTCTTTTGAGGAAACTGATTATTGAGGAGTTTCACCTTTCCCCTCAGTGGCATTTGCCCGGGGCTGTGACACAGACTGAAAATGGAAACCACAAGCTTTTCAGCTGGCTGGAAAGTGACCCAGTGAAGCCTAGATTCATCCTTTGTTACTTTGGGGAAAAAATACACAGTCTTTTTATAGGGGATTTAAAGCCACTTTTTCTTAGATGAGTTGAGGGCTGGATAGTGGTCGTGGGAAGTCCGGAGCAGCCATCCTGAGACCTCATTTAAGGGAAACGACAATCTCCTGGGGAAACAAAGATGAGTAAAAGACAAAGGGGGCCCTGCCCACCATTATTCGGGGATGAAGTGATTTGATAAAGGACAAAATGTAGTAATTTTGTTTTTTGTTTTGTTTTGAGACAGAGCCTCAAGCTGTCGCCCTGGGTATAGTGCGGTGGCATCACAGCTCACGGCAACCTCCAACTCCTGGGCGTAAGCGAGTCTCTTCCCTCAGCCTCCCGAGTAGCTGGGCCTACAGGCGCCCGCCACAACGCCCAGCTATTGTTTGGTTGCAGTTGTTGGTTTAGCAGTCTCTGACTGGGTTCGAACCCCCCAGCCTCGGGTGACGTGGTTCCACGCCGTAGCCACTGTATTACGGGCGCCGAGCCATAACTGTTTTTATTTATTTGCTTATTTTTTGAGACAGTCTCACTATGTCGCCCTTGGTAGAGTGATGTGGCATCACAGCTCACAGCAGCCTCCAACTGTTGGGCTCAAGCGATTCTCTTGCCTCAGCCTCCCGAGTAGCTGGGACTTCAGGCGTCCGCCTCAACACCCAGCTATTTTTAGAGACGAGGTCTTGCTCTGGCTCAGGCGATCCCTGCGCCTCCGCCTCTGCCTGTTGGGATTGCAGGCCTGAGTCCACCAGCGAGCCTGGCCCCTTTCAGAGTGTTTAGATGTTTCCTTTGCCTCTTTTTTTTTTTTCTTTAATTTGCTTTTAAGGCTGACCAACTTCTTCGATATGTGTACATTTTCTTTTTTTTTTCCTGCCTCAGGCTTATTTGTACAAATAGCACAGGAGGACCCCAGCCCCATACAGACAGCAGCCTAGAGGTCACACCAATCCTTTTGTCCTCATGGCAGACAGATGCCTCTACTCTGGAGCCTTTGTGGGGGCCTGGGCACCTTTGGGAGCCTAAGCTGGAGCTGCAGATGAAGCAGCAGATTGGGCCTTCGTTTGAGCCTTGGCCTTTGGCCGGCGAGCCTTAGACCCTTGGCAATGCGTGCACGAGCACACTTCCCAAGCTTGGGGTGGGCGATGTAGGCAAGTCGACTGAGTTTACGGCTGGCACCCTTTGGAATCTTGGTCTTAACCTCCTTGGGCTTTACAAGGGCCTTGATAGCTTCAGCACTTGAACTAACAGCCTTGGCATTGTTGCCCTGCATCTTCTTCAGGCCCTTCTTGTGCTTCTTGGCAAAGCGCATGTTCCTCAGGATCTACCCTCTTAAGAGATTCATATCTTGGTGATCGGGGTTTCTTGATGCCATTTCTGTGCCACTTTCAGGACTGATTGTGTGTGGTGTGGTTCTTGGACTTGGCCATATCTGCACCGAGACCTGCCTACATTTTCTTTTCATTTTTTTTCTTTTTTGCAGAGTCAGAGTCTCACTTTGTCGCACTCGGCAGAGTGCCGTGCCTTCACACAGCTCACAGCAACCTCCAGCTCCTGGGCTTATGCGATTCAATTGCCTCAGCCTCCTGAGTAGCTGGGACTACAGGCGCCCGCCACAATGCTCGGCTAATTTTTGGTTGCAGTTTGGCTGGGGCCAGGTTTGAACCCGCCACCCTCAGTATATGGGGCCGGCGCCCTACTCAGTGAGCCACAGGCGCCGCCCTCTTTTCATTTTTTTGATTCAAAAAATACTAGGACCTACTATATTTTGGGCATTGTGCTAGGTAGGTACTGGGGCGACAATGGTAGGCAAAAACAGTGACCATCCCCTTCCTCCTGGAGCATTGTTCTGGTAAAGGAAGCAGGTAGTTAATTACACATAAATATTTTTATTTGTTTTTTTGTAGAGATAGTCTCACTTTATCCATCGGTAGAGTGCTGTGGTGTTACAGCTCACAGCAACCTCCAACTCCTGGGCTTAGGCAATTCTCCCGCCTCAGCCTCCTGAGTAGCTGGCACCACAGGTGCCCTCCACAACACCTGGCTAATTTTTTGCTGCAGTTTGTCCGGGCGGGTTTGAACCCGCCACCCTCGGCATATGGGGCTGGTGCCCTACCTGATGAGCCACAGGTACTGCCCTACACATATAAATGTTAAATATAATGTGATAAGTACCAAGAAGAGTTGCAGATACCATAATGCGGAATTTGATCTAACAGGGAGATCACAGAGGGCTTTGGCCAAAATTCAACTCTGGGCTTGAGACCTGAAGGGGTTAAAGGGATGCAAGTTGCAGGCAGGGAGAGAGTTGGTGCAAGGGAGAACTGGGAGCCTCCCCCTTCCAATGATTGCCCATCTCATCTGTTTCCACTATACATCCATTGATTTTCCCTGCCTCAGAAGACAGTTTTTTAAAATTTTGAGACAGAGTCTCAGAGTGCTATGGAGTTGCAGCTCACAGCAACCTTGAAGTCTTTGGCTTAAGTGATTCTCTTTTTTTTTTTTTTTTTTTTTTGAGACAGAGCCTCAAGCTGTCCCCGTGGGTAGAGTGCCATGGCATTACAGCTCACAGCAACCTCCAACT